TTAAAATCCACTTGGTTTTGTTTTGCTTGTATCTTCCCATTGAAGTTTAAGACTGCAATCGATCAGTGTGTTATTGGCATATGTGCATACTGTGCGTATGCCTCGATATTGCCTTAATTCACAAGCTTTTTGTAAGCAATGATGGATAGTGGCTAGCAGTGGAATCCAGGACGCGCGTTTCGCCCTATTTGGGACTCTTCAGCTGGATGTACCTGCTTATAAAAGCTTGCGAATTAAGGCAATATCGAGGTATACGCACAGTATTCACGTATGCCAATAATAGACTGATCACCTGCAATCTTAAACCTCAATGGGAAGATACAAACAAAAAAATACCAAGTGAATTTAAATTCACCCCATTGCACAAGCAAGTGGCTATCAGGACTCAGTAGCTGAGTGGATAACGGGATGGCGTTAGAAGCGAATGGTACTGGGTTCGAGTCCCAGAGTGAACATCAACTCTTAGATCCAGGTACATCCAGCTGACGAGACCCATATAGGACGAAACGCACGTCCTGGATTCCACTGATAGCCACTATCCATCTTTGTTTATAACATTAAAATGTTTTTAATTAAGATACTAACAGAAATAATTTACGAGGTAAACCAATACTTATTTGCTCAATCATCAGAGTTAAAATTGTCACAAATGTGTTTTAATAAATGAAATCATTTTGCTTGTCGTAAATAATTAATAATAACTCTCGAAATTTGAATTCTATCGTAATGAATTTGAAAAATGAAAATAACTATTCACAATTTATCAGTCGATCCGAAAAGTGATTATTCTATGTGCAAAATGTTTTAGACTTGAAGGTTTATCCTTTGTTAATGACAAACAAAATGAGGTAGGCAATACAGTTAACCTTGAATTGACAACTCCAACCAACTAATCTATCGTAAGCTAAGTATTACAAATATGTAACATTATCCATTCAGTTTTATTGCTCTTACTTACTTACTTATTTACTTACGCCTGTTACTCCTAATGGAGCATAGGCCGCCGACCAGCATTCTCCAACCCACTCTGTCCTGGGTCTTCTTTTCTAGTTCCATCCAATTCTTGTTCATTTTTCTCGTGTTTATTTCCATTTCTCGGCGTAATGTGTTCTTTGGTCTTCCTCTTTTCCTTTGACCTTCAGGATTCCATGTGAGGGCTTGTCATGTGACTCAGTTGGGTGCTTTCCTCAATGTGTGTCCTATCCACTTCCAACGCTTCTTCCTGATTCCTTCCTCCGCTGGGATCTGGTTTGTTCTCTCTCACAGTACGTTGTTGCTAATAGTGTCCGGCCAACGGATCTGAAGTATTTTGCGTAGACAATTGTTAATAAACACCTGTATTTTCTGGATGATGGCTTCCGTAGTTCTCCAGGTTTCTGCCCCATACAGTAGAACTGTCTTGACATTTGTATTGAAAATCCTGACCTTGGTGTTGGTTGACGGTTGCTTTGAGGTCCAGATGTTCCTCAGTTGTAAATATGCTGCTCTTGCTTTGCCGATCCGCGGGTTCAAATCTGCATCAGATCCACCCTGTTCATCAATGATGCTGCTTAAATATGTAAAGGTTTTTACATCTTCCAAATCTTCTCCGTCAATTGTGATTAGATTGGTGCATTCTGTGTTGTATCGGAGAATCCTGCTTTTCCCTTTGTGTATATTGAGACTTACTGCTGCTGAGGCTGCTGCCGCACTGTTCATCTTCTCCTGCATTTGTTGTTGCGTTTGGTTTATTGCCCTTAACAATATATAAAATACTTTTTATCCAGCCATAATGATAATATTAATAGTTATATTTTTAACTAAAGGGTGAATGAATCACTTTTTAAATTATCTTACCATTTTCATACCGAAACAGTTCAGTCAATCTGGATGAGAAAATTAGTGACTGGAAGAAAAGAACTCAAACAATATATCTTTTCCACATTCTCAACTTTAGTTAAACTTATTTAGAGAAACGAATGGATCTCTACTAGTTTAAAGTGAATTATGAATGTTTTTGACTCATGAATACTTTTATTAACCGTATATTTTACCTACAATCGATTGATCAATAAATAGGGACCAATATCACGTTTATCTAATCCTTTAATTGCTTAACGAGCTGTATCGATCAAATTGAAACGTGGCCACTAATCTGAATGGCTCGACATCATGTGAACTATGTTTATGTGTCAGATCGTTGGAGGCTGTCGACAGGACCTTAATTTCTTGTTATGTGAGACTCGTCAGTAAAAAGTACTCTCAAGCTTGAGGAAACTGCTGCTAGCTGGTAGATCTAAGAGGGGATCACTCAGCTGTCCGAGTAATGATCGGGCTTCTGTAAGACAAGCTGATCAGGGTTCAAATCCACCAAGGATCATTAGTTTGCTCAGGATTCCAGTGGGTATTGATAACGAGTAACAAATAGCATAAAACCGAGGTCTAGGGTATCCTATCGACTAGTTCGCACCACCTAACATATTTTATCTATAAGTCAAGAAGAACATAGAAAGACTTAATATGAATGAATGTGTTTGTAAATTAAACTATCACTGATGATAATGTCTCTTTATAATGTAAATACTTAGGGAAAATTAGAATTTATTGTAAAGTGTTAAGCACAACATACCTTAACAAGATATATTTATTTGGAAAACCGAACCTAATTCAGTCAACATGAAGATCTCAGTTTAATAGGCTGAAGTTCTAACAGAAACTTTGCATTACGTCAAGTTTTTATTTAGAAACATTTTACTCAAATAAAAGACGGCCAATTCAAAGAATTAATAGATAGATTGGTCTATGCAACTTTAGTATTTGTATTTAGCTACCCGCATCACCTATAAACTGAAGAAGTATATAAAGAGACATTTTGCTCACAGTTAGGACTTCTCTCTCTTTTCATGGCTAAATGTTTATTCATAAATTTCTTCAGATACCCACTTTCTTTCAGAGTTGTACCCAATGCCTTTGTTTCTTCCTCAACAGCATCTGGGAAGCATATACTCTTGATTCTATACTGAAATGTCTTAATCACGTTTCTTTTACATTGTAAAGGAATAAAACTAGTAAAATTTGCATTTTAGCCAGTTCAAGTAGTTTTATTGTTTAAGTTTCTTTTTTAGTAACACATATACTCTCCTTGTAAGTAGAACATCTAGAAAGGCTATTCCACCTCTATTTTCTTCCTCACATGTGAATATAGTAGACGGATGAACTTCGTTGAATCTCTTGTGTGTCTTTACCCAGTCAGTATGGTCTTTACAAAGGATGAACGTACAATCCACAAGTCGGCAGTAAAATGAAAACTTGTCAATTCACTGTATCGGTGGACCGTTTTCCAGTTTATCGAAAAGATTTCAGTTAATACGGAACCTGGTGGTGAATTCATCGTGACACCATCTATTTGTCTGCATAGTTCGTCATTGAATTTAAAGTTTTTGTTCATAGTAAATTTTAGTAATAGTTACTTTATGATGTCCATAAAGATTATAGTCCCTATTTCTTGTTCTCTAAGTCGCCCACAGACATATCTACTTTAATCATTAATCTCACAATCCTATTTAACGAAAGAAATATCTATGTTGTATTTATTCAGTTTCCTGAACTGAGCTTAGAATGAACACAATATTTTATGGTGAATCTCAGGAAAATCATACATTTTCTTATAATTGATTAAATATTATGCTGACTAGAATGCAATGAAGTTAAAAGAGACTTATTTTCAACAGCCCATAACAGTGAATTTCATAGGTTCCACTGAAACGTGTTAATGGATGGAGCTCAACCATGTCACTTGTCAGGCAGCTATCTTAAATTATATTGGTTTGATCCGGACCATATCGCAAAATGACTGGAGTTATAAATGTTTACCAATGGATTCCTGCTCAATGGTCTGAATCTAATATGCTTCACACAAGAAATGAATGTCTTTGGATATGTTCTATATGGGTTTGTGGATCCTCACTATAGCTCTTCCATATTTCCTGATTTTGAATGATTCAACGATTGAATTCAGTGTATATGGTAAAAAATAACCTCAAGAAGTTTAGAGACATTATTTCTGAATCCGTATTAACTAACATTAAATAAATTTAAAAATCATGAACTTGTATCTACTACCTTAGATTTCTTGACTCTAGCTTTCGTGACATCTTTGATCATAGTTAATAAATCTTTCTCAAGAGTTTTCAAGCTAGTATCTATACTGTGACCCAAAGCTGTCTTTCATCAATCAGCCAGTCTAGATATTGAAACGCTTTTTATAGATGTCTGAACTAATTTCATATGTGGACGAATGATACTCAATAAGAAATTTTCACTTTTTTAATTATTAGGAAAAACAAAGTTGTTTTTATTCACTGGATATTACAAATTACCAATAATATTGTCAATGGGTTGTTCCTAATATGTTATTTCTATAATCCTTTCATTTCATTCATACTACTGAAGTGGGGTTCTAAATGAGAAAAATAAACTTCCTGTAACCTTCATTGATGACTACTGTTCTCAAAACAGTGCTAAGTTTATGAATAATTTAATAATTGCATACGAAATCAAGAGAACTTTCTAAAAGAATAAAGGGATTTTATGTTATACAATCACATCTATTCTAAAATTATATAGTAAACTTATATAATTTCCCATTCTTTTGTATTTGTTACAAGCAATGGCCGAAGAGAGGCAAGTGGTTTAATGGCATACAATATCAACAAAAAGTGGAATCCTAATCAATTGATACTCCATTTCGCCTAGAATTTTGTTGACCTTATAGCCTACTGACCTGTTATAATGCGTGACAGAGCATGGCTTAGTATTCTAATTTAAAATTTGATTGGGTTATTGGTCTTCTGACCATTGTCATGTTAACTAGATAGACATTGGACATTGAAATAACACGTTGATTGGCTTATCGATATTATCTTAACCAATCAAGTATCAGTAAGGACTCACGTGACTAATACAGTGTCCATAAACAATCATTTTCTACCATTTCCTTAATTTTTTTCACTTAATGATAGATGGTTAATCACAAACTACTTTTTTCTCCAAAGATCCTGTGTACCTGACACAATCAAGATTATTTTAACCTCTCATCATATTTTCAGCATCAAAAATCGAGCCGTTTTATTGTACCAATCCTCTCCAAACCACCTCACTACTCAATTTTAGGAATTTGAATGTATATGTAGTTGGTGAAGTTGGACACCCCAAGGCGAAAGTTATTCGTATTGTGCATATCTCGGATACAAGGGGGGCACATGATGCCTTCACAGAAAATATTCCACGAGGACATATTCTGATTCATTCTGGCGATTTTACATCTCACCCACCTTCGCTCAGCCTCCGCTTTTCAACATGGTGTAAGAGTATAACTGGTAAACTTCCTCGATTTAAAAAGCGCCATTCGTCACCCATTAAGAACTGGAAACAACAAATCAAAGAGATTGATAATTTTTTTGCTCAACAGCCACATGATTTTAAAATCTTTGTTCCGGGTTGCTGGGAAACATGGTATTCGGATTCATCTGGTGACTGTCCTACGCCTGAAAAAATTCAGTCTCAGCTGACATCAGCCATTTATCTTGAAGACTCCTGGTGTCAGGTTTTCGGGTTGACGATTTACGGTATCCCTTGGACTTCAGCTGACGACTTAAGGCCAGAAGACGGAGCATTTGTACAGAAGCATTTAAGTCATTATACAAATTTTAAACTTAAGACTTCAATTAGCTGTCTGCGATTTACTGAAAAAGTTAATGGTCAAACATCATCCAAACCCACCACTACCGTCTCTAGCCCGTGTCAGTCTAAAGGTTTTGTGCTGCCGAATATTGACGATGTTTCTAAACAATGGATGCATATTCCAGATAATACTGATGTCGTTGTAACTCACATGCCTGCATGGCGTCCTGAACTTTACGCCCATATAGCCGATCGTGTTAAGTGAGTTAGATCGCTTCAAGTTGATTTTTTATTCAAAGAAAAAGCTAATGATATTTCTATCCTTTTATCATTTCAGTTGCGTTTGTATAGTATATGGTTCCTTAAAATTAATTTTAAATATCCGCATGGGCAAAACTAACATAACAGATCGTATTTATATTGTATAACTACTATAGAAATGTATTAATTTATTGACGGCTCACTGAAATGTCCAGTAATCCATGTATATTAGAAAACATAAGCTACACACTACTATAGACCAGATATTTTTGTCCTGTAAACATTTTTTAAACTTACATTTAAGAATGAAGTCAGTAGTTAAAATAACTGGTTTCGATGCTCAGTAATTAAATATTGGTTGGACTTTCGATCACTTTTTTATGGGGAATGCTGATATTACCTGACTTCCAAAACAAACGGGGAGTAGATTTCAAACCTTTACTACGATTCTGGTAGACTGAATCCTTTAACCACCATGCTGATAGTTCCAAGTAACCAAACGTAGACATTAAACCAATTCATGGTATTGGTACTTATGTGTTTAATTTGTTCAGAGAAGTTGAGTCTTCACGATTGGAGTAACCTGGACAACTGTAGGAGGGATTGGAGACTGGGTCATGTTTCGAAATCACTATGAGGCTGAGTATTTGTGTTCATTTTGTTATTTTTCTTGTGTATGGTATCATTTCATAATTTTGCTTACCCGATTTCCCTCGTCCCTTCCAACCTTATTTTTAGTTTTCAACTACTATTAGGATTATGGTTGTTTTCATACATTTTCTTACCTCTTGTTTATTCGCTGTCACACTGTTCATACGAAGTGTTGTAGTTTTAACCGATATAAATAAATGCCAGGTTTTATTTTGTTTTTGTCTGTCTAAATAACTGATTTGACCTATTTTCATTTATGATATTCATTTACCAATTTAGGGTAGAATAGATAGCAAGATATTCTACTGTTTACTCATAAAGAGGGAAGTTAACAAATGCATTATTTAGAACAGGATAGATGATGAGGAAACTTAAGGTGTTAACTATAACGTTTGAACCATAACCTCCATTGAAGCATTTAAACTGTCGCGATAAATCGTATCTGTCTTCTGTGAAAATAAAATAAAACGACGTATTGAAGTAACTGATTATTACTGCTTTTGCTTGCATGAATCTTGTTTGAGGATCGGGTCAAATATATTGATGTATTTTAATGAATTAGACACGTGTTGTATCGATTAGTCACTACATGTCGATATATTAAAAGATTCGGTAGCTAAAATCAAATAACATGTCTGGAATACTTTCCTAGTTTCACCTGTAAACTACTTCCTTCAAATAAATTGATTCGTTCTGGTTCAAAATTCATTTTCTTGACTTCTACAATGTATATATGACAGGTGACTATTTGTCAATTCCAAGTATTTTTATAAGCGATGACCTCAAAATGGTCAATATTATTTTCTTGAATACAATACAATGCTAATTTGGAATATTAAAGACTTTATTTTTACGATTAATCCAGTGTAGTGCTTAATTTTTTGTCACTATAGATATTTTGGTGTTGTGCTGAAATTCCTCTTCAGTAATATATATATATATATATATATATATATATATATGTATATATTGCACTCTAGATGAAACATTTGGTAAATTTTGAATATATGGTTGACTGAAGCGTCTGTCCTATTTATTTCAACCAGGTGGTGCTGACTGAGAAGTTATCAGTAGATCCTCGACTAAATTAAGTGCTTCGATTTTCATGTTGAAAACTGGTACCCTTTTAGAAGGGTATAAATATATAGTTCCAGAAATGAGAAATGATAACATGATGGGTAATAGTTATACCTGACAGTAGAAAACTGTCACTGGATATATTGAAGTTTTACCGATTATGATTTTTGATGGATATACAGTCTCGATTATCGTCACTCAACACGTATAAGGAAATAAGAGGAAACCAAATTTTGTTAAAATGTTTCTATTAAGCAGTAAAAACAAAATGGACTAGTGGCAGCAAAACCAGAATAAAAAACAGTATTATATACCTAATAGTCTATTACGAGAAATAAAAATCATTTGGGAAATTTAACGATAACCAAGTTATTTACGATGGTCACTATTATAAGTTAGATTATGGTTATAGCTAGTCATTAATTGGGAGAACATTTTGTTGAGTTCAAAGTGAAAAAGAAATCTAGATCCAACCAATAATATGTGCAGCGTTTATGTGAAGCCTTTTGACTGAATGTTCATAATATTCAAATATATTAATATTTGTTACAGATTGACATCATCCTGGGTTTAAATGAAAAGACACTGGACAATTGTTTTGTCTTAGTATGGAGCTCCTTGGAAGTGCTCATCCATGACCTCACCAGAGGTTGAACCTAGGACCTTCATGTCAACCATTAGAATCAGTGGGACGGAGTCGTGGGTTTTCACTGTTAAACAATCTCATACTCAGATGAAACTGCTGTCCAGTCCCTCTTGACTTTCATTAACACCAGTCTATGGCGAATACTATTTACAAAAAATTAACCGATCTCCACAAACCCGTTCTAATTTATTCACGTTTCGAAAATCTTACGCTGCACACCGCTATCTTTGATATACGGATAAGAATTAAGCCAGATAGTCAGATTTTCATCCCAAATGGCACTTGACACACAAAATTTATACCTTCTAATCGTTTATGTTCTAACTTCCAATATTGTTGAGTTCGTCTATCGATTAGGATTCTATCCAATTTTTTTGAAAAAATATATTCAAACTAAGTATTAAACATCAAATCACAGTCCATAATAAGCTTCCCAACTCAAATTTGGTAATTTTATAATCTAATTTATGTTCTAAGATCACTGCATGTTAATATGATAAACTTTTCTAGTTCGATCTCAACTGTTTGCTGTATTTAACAGTAATAAGCATCATCGAAAAAGTAGGAACTTTATACATTATTTCTTCATTATCTATTATTTTCATACTCTCATTAAATTGTAGACTAAAATGTATGTTTTTTTAAAAACCATTATATGGAATGGTAAACTCATCATTCAGTTTACCATAATGAATTTTCATATCTAATGTTATGTATTCAAAATTAATTAAGATAATAACAATCCGTCATAAAAACATATCTACCGATTGAATAAGCTTAGGCTTTCCATTCGCAATGCATCCATCAAACTCATTTTATTATTTGCATTTACTTGCAATTTACGTACTTCAAGAAATGAACACAAACTTGATGTTTTTTAATTAGGATGATAGATTACTGATCAATTAGTTTGGTTATATATTGGAAAGATAAATAAAATGATTTCGAAATACAGGCCGTGAAAAATAATATCTGTCAATCATCTGGTAAACTATTGTATTAGTTTGTTTGATGATGGCAAAACCCGTGTTCTGGTTTGTTGACGACTGGTCGTGTGAACTGCATCGGAATGAGTATTGTTAGATCGACTAAAAATTCAATCTATTGGTGTCTTATTCCTCCTGAAGCTTGGTCAAAACAACTATATTTTGTTCAATGGGTACAAGATGTTTTAGGTATGTAAAATTTCTTCTTCCTTGATAACAGGACAGAATCCTCCATTTAGTGTTGAGAGAATAAATACTTGTATGCTTATTTTAATATTCCTGTTAACTACGATTTCGTTCTACTGTCAGCCATTACTAAATACGCCTAAATCACAATCAAAGGTAATGTTAAAGCGATTATATGGTAAGTATGTGCAACTCAGGTGATTACGTGCCATGAACTAATAAATGATAGTTTAAATCCCAATAATTTGTAATTCCATTTAAAAGTGGTTGTTTTTTGGTTTTCTGTTTTCTGTACAATTTAATGTCCCTTGTTGTTTCGCCATTTAATGATTACTTGAAAAGAACTAAGTAAAATTATGACTTTTCCAATTTTATGCTCTTTTAAATTTGGAATTAACTGTGGAGTACTCCCATACCCCATTATAGTGGTCTGGTAATCTTATTTTTTCCAACTGAATGACTGAATTCCATTAATACTGACGGTAATTAACACAAGGCGTCTAGTTCATATTAAAATAGGGTCGTATAATTTTTATCTGATAATCAATAACAGCGTACTCAGTTGTATGTAATAAACGAAACTGCACCGTACTCTTATATACGTGTAATTGGGACGTGACATTTCAAATCTTAATTGATAAAGATCCGGTTTATTACTCGCTAATTTATTGATCAGATATTAGCAAGAGTTAGAAAAGCAAAATCAAAAACAACGGATTGGAAAATTCTCACTGTCTGATAAGTTTAAGCTTTTTTGAAAACACACTTTGAGTATGACTGAGACCGGTTTATTTGTTAGCTTATTTAAAAAATATGAAAATGGCTTTTGTTGACATTTCACCTTTATCTGAGTTCTTTTCAAAAGTAAACTTATTTTGTGTAGTATATCTGATTTCAATGTACGAGTACATTCACAAGTTGCCTTTCTTAAAAGTATGTACGAGATTTATCATGTGGATTTCTAATGGTCAACTTCTATCCCTTTTACATTATTTTTCATAAAAGTTCGAAAATCCTTCCCATGAAACTCCAATTTGATTGTTTGGTTTAATGTGAGGGTGGAGAGTCCAGTTGTGTTGACTCTTTATTCGATATCTAATTTACCATATATTTATGATATTATAGTTAAGAATTTCAGTTTAAGAGAAGATAACTAAGTCTGTATTGCGTAGCTAACAGCTTAGTTATTCTGTATTTCACTAATCCATATAGGTGGTTTTGTCACAGATTTAACATCAGTTCATGAAATCATTAAATGTTAGTTTGAACTGTGTTGATAAGAGTAGACTACTTGATTGGGGTCCTTATATAAATTCCAATAAATGGTTGGAGACATTGGGTGACATGGCTCAAAATCTATCACAGTAGCACAAATAAATTCATCCCTTATCTTAAGTCTCGAGTTCCTACATCACGTCATACTTTCTATTCTCTTATTATATTAATTCTCCAAC